AAGCAGCATAACCCTCATCAGTATCCTTAGGTTTCACATAAGTTCCACTAACATATCCCCACATCTTTGTACCCTTAAGAAAATTTCTCATCACGTAACTCCAATACGAATAATTCTTTCCATCCAATCTCACACTCACAGACTAAAGAAAATCGTTTCATTCTGTAGCCATAATAAAAAAAATAAGGAAACCCAGATCGCAAAAGAAAGAAAAATGAAATCCCAGATTGCAGAAGTTGAATGAAAACCCTAACGAAATACCAGATTGCAGAAACTGAATGAAAACCTTCTAATCATCTCCTTTCTTAAAAAAATTATAGGCTCCGCCCCTACCCCCAAACCCCGGCAGGGGCATGCTGCCCCCCTGCAACCCCCAGACAAAGCTGTGTTTGAGATTATGTCAAATCCCATGAAATTTAACTCTGATACCATGTTAAATAATCCAAAGAAATAAAGAAAATGAGGTTATGGTTTCATTGATTTTGCATAATGCAATTGAATAAGAAAAATATAACTTAACCTAGATACAAAGAGATTATATATAGGCTAGACAAAGGAAACCGAAAATACTATTCTACCCTTAATAAATAATAAAACAAAAATGATCATATATTTCTTAACGGGAACAATTAAGGTCAAGTTCAACACTCAATACATTAGCCTCTAAACTGTTTGAAAGTATGACAGCGAAAGAGAGTGAGGAAAAAAAAACTAAGAAACTTGTACTTACTCGAGTGAGTGAAAATGGTGGTTTTGTTGTCACCGATAGTGACAGAGCTGCAGTGACTTTGAATATGAACGCGGATAATTATTTGGCTTCTTTGATTGTTCGTTGGATTGGCGAATGTACGGTGGAAAGCGAAACTAGTGAAAGGGAAAGCGGCAAAATAGCTTGTCGTAAAATTGATCGATAAAGTCCGATAATCGCCGACGAGATTTAGCCGGCTTGCGTTCATGGTAATGAAGTTAGCCTTTACAGTGGTCGATCTTGGATAAGCTCAACCCGCTGAGTCACACCGTGCTAGTTATGTAAGTGAGTCCATTTTTAAGGAAAAAATATTTTAAATTTAGTCCTTTCAAAAAAAATTGTTTCTCTTACTCATTTTCAACTATACATTTAGAGGTGTCAAGACGGACGGGCCGGCCATGACCCGTAAAAACCGGCCCGTGAAAACCGGGACCGCGGGCCGACCCGTGACCCGTGCGG